TTCCCATATTTGCTGTATCGAATTCACATGGTTGCCTATTTCTGGCAAATGATGCTTTCTTTCTGAAGCCTGTGGAGATGTGACCTATGGACCAGACTGTCAACGATGCTTTGTAGGAGACTAAAACACAACTCAGTGATTGAGAGCACTGGCTGCTCTTGCAGAGGACCAGCACCCACATGGCAGCTCGCAAAGGTCTGTAACTCCAGTTCCAGGGATCCAACGCCCTCTTCTGGACTCCGCAGATACTGCATGTCCATCGTACACAGACACATGGTCAGGCAAACATTCATAAACCCACAGCCTTTCAAAAGAATCTTTAGATGTTGGATGATGGACAAGCCCTTGGGAGACAATGTTGGCCGGAGGTGACATTGCAGGAATACATCTACCCAGAGGGGTGTCCCTTAGGTGGCACACTGCGCAGAACTGAAGACATATCTGGTCTGTGACATTTCAGTTTGGGACTGACTTTGGCACAGTTGTGCTGTGTTGGATGTATCTGGGTCACTCACCTTCTCTGGTCACAACTGGGAATCCTGGAGCCCTCCACCAGCCCCTCTAGCCTTCTCTTCATTCCCTCGTTCATCCAAATACTCATCTGGGTCTGCCCACAGTATGTGCACAGCACAGTCCCCTGGAGGGGGATGCAGTCTTGACAGCTAGGTCGTTCTGTGCAGTTCAGAGAGACACTGTAACCACTGCAATCTCAGGGTTTGAAAGGCTGATGTGGGAACCGTGAATTCGAGGCTTCATTACATAGAGAGATCCCACCTAAAAGGAGAGGGGAGGGCAGCACAGATGTTACATGTTGGATGGTGCCCTCTGTCCTGCCCCAGGGATGCTCGCTTTGGGTACCACAAAAACTCAACAAACAAGATCAACTAACTTTAAAATAAATTTTTGAAACGGAAGTGAACAAGGCAGCAACATTTTCCCCACGGGAGAATCTGTGTGGCCTGAGTCAGGATAAGGTGAGCAGGGTCATTAAGCCAGGCCCCAGTTATAATATTACATTTTTAGATTAATTTTTGCATTCTTTTACATTCTTATTTTGTTTTGATTTGTCTGTTTGTTTGCTTGCTTGCTTGCTTGCTTGTTGTTGTTGTTTTCTTTCTTTTCCAGACAGGGTTTCTCTGTGTAGTCCTGACTATCTGGGAACTCCTTCTGTAGACCAGACTGTCCTTGAACTCAGAGTTCCACCTGCCTCTGCCTCCTGAGTGCTAGGATTAAAAGTGTGCGCCACCACTGCCTGGCAGCTGTCAAGATCTTATCTCCCACTTTGCAGAAGAAGAAACTGAGACTTTGAGGGATTCATCCAGCCACTAGGTGGGGTGAAATAGTAAAGAAGTAGAGGTAGGATTTGAACCTAAGTCTTTCATCACTCAGCATGGCATGTCTTCTACCTAACTCCCCATCTTGCGACTCCAGCACAGCCTCAGTTTCCCTCCTGTGTAACATGAGGCTAAGTATTAAGTTCACCTCTAGGGACTGGAGACTGTACCAGGCCCAGAAGGGTCCCCATCACTGTTACCCTCCGAGGAACAAGAGAAACCCCGCTCTGATTGTAAAAGGAGCAGCTTGGCCATTTGTTCTTCAAATACTGATTTTATTCTTTAGATCTTTTTGGCGGGGAAGGGTTGGGGACGGCAATCAGTTTTCGGACTTAAGATAAAAAATCGCAGGAAAGGGGCTGCTTGACTCTCTATAATTAATGGGGCGGCCTGTAATAGGATTCTCCTGCCCATGGCGCTCCCAGGAAACACCTTTTTACATAAGATATTGCCCACGCTGGAGTGGCAGTGGGTGATTTATGGGGTTCCCTGCTGCACAAAGCCTCTCGCGGGGTTGCCAACCGCTGGATTTATCAGGGAATTTGGAAGCGGGGCGCGCAGTCCGCCCATGACATTTTTGGTGGAATTTAAACAGCACAAACACTAGAGAAGGGAGAGGCAGGTAAGGTGGGGGTAGGAGGGTCCGTTTAGATCACAGGGACAGAGGAGGTGAGTCCCGGCTGTGATTTATAGCCGGAGGGCCGAGGAAGATACGGGCAAGTAAACCTAGCTAGGAGTCTGCTCATGGGTCTGGGTCCTCACTGAGTTAGCCTGACTGGGGACCCAGCGGCTGCTTGCTATTTCAGATCCCTCTGTGAGCAGGTCAAGCGTTCGTCCGCTGTGGGCCCACGTATCCCTAGACGCAAGGGCTCCCGTAGGCAGGGGGCAACTCCACACTGTGTGCCGCCAACCGCTCTAGCAGCCAAGGGTCCACTTTACCCTCCTATCAGGGGTTCTGAATCTAAGGGGGAGGGTCTACCATTTTGTCCACTCAATGGTCAAGTCAGCTCAGAATGGAGAGGGAGCCCTAAATTGGGCACAGGGCTGAGGGAGGCAGGCCGGGGACTGCAAGTCTAGGGACCTTTGCAAGTAAGGCTACTGGGGCGCTTCCCCTCCCTCCCCTTTGTTGCTTTTGGGCCTCAGCGCAAAATTTACCTTTTCTAAGCTGTGGGTGTGGCTCAGTGGTGTGGCGCTTGTCTAGAATGTGTAAGGCTTGGCTTTGGCCCCTAGTGGTGTCAAAGAAAATCATAATAGCTTCCCCACTTATCTGGTAGAGACTCACTGATGTACTGATGAGCTCCCCTATCTGAAAGTCGGGACTCCTTTAAATAGCCCGTCCTAACAAAATCGCCCCTGTGGTTTCTCCGACACAATCTTTCCTGTCTTCCTCACCTCTCTTTAAAACCCCCATCAGTTACACATTGGATGTGTTTGCGCGTGCATGTGAGCGCGCGTGTGTGTACGTGTGCGTGTGGAAGCCAGAGGTTAACGACAGGTGTCATTTCTCCACGATGCCACCCCAGCTGAAAGGACCAAGCAGCTGCCACCTGACTCTGCCTTCTTCCTCCATCCCCGCACCCACTCCAACTGACAACAGCCCTTTTGCCAGCCAAAGCTTGAGGAATAAGACAGAGGGTCTGGGCGAAACCCAGTAGCTGAGAAGAAGGGGCAGTGGGAGTCACAGCAAGGCTGGGGGGGGCATGTGAGCAGGAACAAACACCCACACATACAGCCTGCAGTAACCCTGTGCAGCCCCAGAAAAATACCCTCTGACCCCAGCCCCTTCCCAGGCTCTGCTCTCGTAACAGAGAGCCCAGAGGCCACAGAGTTGGCGTGCACCCACTGAATCTGGCCCTGCCACAAGTCTGCCACGTCCCCGTTTCCTTTGTCCTCCGACTCTCTCCACCCTCCCAGCTTTCAGATGCCTTGGGTGTCAACCAGAGGGTCTGAATTGAGCTCAGGAACACACATGTTATCCAGGTAGGTCAACAGTCCTCTGGGGCTATTATCTGCAGCTCCAGAGACCAGGCAAGGAGCAAACAGCAGCTGACAAGTTTCCCAGGAGGGGCAGTCACGGGGTTGAGGCCAAGTCAGGGCTGCCTGGGATCCCCAGCACCTAGGGCCCAAGACAGTCTCCGCCACTCAGGCATAGGGACAGGAGAAGGGAAAAACATTGCCAGTCTGGGCAGTCCTGGGAGGCTTCCGGAAGGAGGCAGTCTTCATGCCAGGCTTGAAGGATGCATGTAAGTCAGACACATAGAGAGTAAGGCAGGCAAGAAACACAGGCTGAGGAAGGGGAGGTTCTATGCATAAGCTGTGTGCCCAGGCCAAGTGGTTCAACTATTCTGACTCCGTTTCCTCACCTGCCTGCAGATAGCAATTATCTGCATGGCATCGGTCATTATGGGACAAAGCCCTGAGACACATGGCAAGTTCATAGTTGCCCTCCTCCAGCAGCCCGCGTCACAGCCCAGAACACTGGGATGGCAGACAGAGGAGTGTCTGCTCAGGACGCCTTGGATAATTAGCAAGAACAAAGATGGACTCAGGTGTGGATGCATCCGGCTCCAGGACACACAGGGGCGTCAAAGTCTCTTTCCTGGCAGATTCACAGATTGTGGCTCCAAGGAACCAGAAACTGGTTTCCAGGTGCCTGGTGGGGGATTCTTGGCACGAGAGGGCCAGGTCTATGGTTCTGGAGGGAACACAGAACAGGCAGAAGACCTGAGAGTGGAGGTCACTGCTGCCTGAATCCTGCCATTGAGGAAGCAGGTAAGTCACAGTCTGTGGGTTGCAGGCCTGAGAAGGAAGGACACTTGCCTGAGGTCACACAGCCCACCCGCCACCGGGAAATGAGTTTTACCCTGAGCTGTGACCCCCTCCCCCCCCCCCCCCCCCAAGATGAGCTCTGTCACCTGGCAGACTGTGAGGTGAATCAGAAGACCCCATACAAAGACAAGGTGTGTCCCAGAACCCTCTGGGATCTCAGAACCTCCAGGTTGGGAGAGAGCCAAGGGGAATCCCAGGGTTGCAGGACCTCAAGATACCCTGAGCCTCCTTCCCCATAGGAGACACTCTGCTGCCCCCTTGTGGCTTCAACGGAGTTGACGTCATCTTATTTCCTAAGAAATTGTCTAGGGCTGAAGGCCTTGACCCATTCACTGGGAAGTGGGGGGGGGGGGGGCACACAACATGACTCCTACCTCTCTCCCCTAGCCCTGCTACCTTTAGTACTCAGGCTGACGTATCCTAGTAACACTGAGAAGTAGAGTCTGCACCTGGCTGGGTCACATGCCAGCTTCGTGACCTTGGGGCATTATGTCACTTCACACACACACACACACACACACACACTCAGATTGTGACTCCAAGGGACCAGTGAGGGTCAAATCTGCAGGTCTGGGGGGAACACAGTGCAGGCAGACGATCTGAGAGTGGGTCCGTGGAAAAAAGAGATGAGTCACACACACACTGTGACAGGGACTTGTTGAACGTTGATGTAGAGAAGGACTCAAGAGCTCTCGGAAAAGTTACCAGCAGTTAAGTAGGTGACATCGTCTCCTCCAGGGAGCCACCCATGAGGTGATGAGAAGTCACTGTCTCATAACCTGCCTCAGGATTGTGTAGCTCGAGGGGTAAGAACACAGAACCTGTGGAAACCACACACTCAGCTCAGGCAGGTTTATTCAGTGGACTGCAGGGAGCCCCTGGGAGCAATCCAAGAGGTCTACCTGAAGGAGGAGGGTAGGAGGAGGGTAGGAGGAGGGTAGGACACTCCCTTGGGTGGCCACGACGGTGTCCAGGAGCCTCTCTGGGGTTCCCGGGAGCCCTCAGCTACAGCCCAGTTGGGTTTTCAGCTCCTGGAGCTGTTGGCTACTGATGTTGTTGCCACCACACACGATGACCACAATGGAAGCCAGGGCCGGGCCCAGGCGGCCCTCAGCCTGGAGCCTCCCCAGGATGCCTGAGTATACAGCAGCCAGGGCGGCCCCACAGGCAGGCTCCACCAGGATGCGCTCATCATCTGTGGGGAGGAAGCGGGAGGACTGTCAGTCAGTGCTCAGCAGGAAGGGTCCACCCACCCACCCACCCATCCACCCATCCATCCATCTACCCATCCACCAAACCACCCATCCGCCCACCCACCCACCCACCCATCCACCCACCCATCATTCATCCATCTATCCATCCATCCACCCATCCATCCATTCACCCATCCATCCACCCATCCACCCACCCACCCATCCATCCTTCCATCCATCCACCCACCCACCCATCCACCCACCCACCCATCCATCCTTCCATCCATCCATCCATCCACCCATCCACCAAACCACCCATCCGCCCACCCACCCACCCACCCATCCACCCACCCATCCATCCATCCATCCATCATTCATCCATCTATCCATCCATCCATCCATCCATCCATTCACCCATCCATCCACCCATCCACCCACCCACCCACCCACCCATCCACCCATCCACCCACCCACCCATCCATCCTTCCATCCACCCACCCACCCACCCATCCATCCTTCCATCCATCCACCCACCCACCCATCCATTCACCCATCCATCCATCCATCATCTACCAAACCACCCACACATCCATCTATCCATCCATCCACCCACCCACCCATCCATCCATCCATCTATCCATCAATCCATCCATCTATCCATCCATCCACCCACTCATCCATCCATCCATCCACCCACTCATCCATCCACCCACTCATCCACCCACCCATCCATCCATCCACCTATCCTTCCCTACCCACCAACCCCCACACATCCATTCATCCTTCTCTCCCTCTACCGCCCATCCATCCATTATCCATCTTCCCCACTCACTCATACATTCACCCATTCGTTCAACAAATACCTCAGTCTCTGCCTGCCTCTGTGTTTGGAAGATCCTAGGGACATAACGGTGGCTAAGACACAAAGCCCTACCCCCACCCAGTTACACCAAACAGTAGATAAAAACCAAGCAGCTGTAGGCAGAGGGGTGAGTGTATTGGTAGTCTCTAGCTAGTGAGGGGGTGTAGCGAGATCAGGGTGGCTTCTTGGAGGAGGCACCATAATGGACCACTAGCCATCACCGTGGACAAGCATTAGGCGATGGGGCCAGGATGGACGTCCAGAGGCAAGAAGGTAGGAGGAGCATGTGCCAACGTGCTGAAGCTGCCTAAGACCTCTCCTCCTCACTACTGGACACACCCGTGACATCATCACTGCCCAGCCAGCCCGCCTCAGACGCTGGGGACAGGGTTGCTGTGGACAGATGGCCTGGGTTGCACTCACCCAGGAACCTCTGCACTGCCTTCACAGCCTCCCGGTCTTCCACCACCTCAGAGAGGATCTCACACTCCTTCGCACACTCCAAGGTCCGCGCAGCCACCCTCTTGGCTCCCAGGCTCTTGGCTACACTGTAGGGGGATGAGCAGGGGGAAGATGGAAGAGCAGACACATCAGAGCCCTGCCCTGCAGAGCCCCAGGTCATCCACATCCTGTGATGGACAGGATGTCCGGAAGCCCAGACATGCTGGGCTACACACAGAGAGAGTTCAGGGTCAGTCTGGGCTACAGAAAGAGTTCGGGGCCAGCCTGGACAACTTAGTGGGACCCTGTCAGAGCTCAGAGTCAGAACCATGTCTGAGGCCATGGTCCTGTATCCAGGGCAGGGGGTGCAAGTGAATGAGCACCCACATTGTACATTGTGGGGAGCATCAGGACCGGCACCCCAGGAAACGGCAGTGGGGTTTCTCTGTGCTGACATCCAAGGGGAGACAAGCAATACAGATGAGGAGTGTTCCAGACATAGAAACGTCGTGTGCAAAGGGGCAGGGGCAGGACAAGCCTTCAGCCATCACAAGGACAGAAAGAGAGGCCTCGGCAGAGGGAGGGAGAGAGCCCGAAGTTTGGCTGCAGGCTTGGGAGAGGGGTGAGGACAGGCACAAGTCAAGACTAATAAGTCTTGTAGAGGGCTGTAGCTAGTGGGCTACAGAGAAAGTTCAGGCCAGCCTGGGCTACAAAGGAAGTGGAGCTAAGTGGCAGTACACCAGAGTCCAGGCTGGTCTTGAACTCTCTCAATAACATACTAGAAGAAACCCCGGGCTCTGCTCCCAGCACCGAGCAAAGAGTCTAGCTCAGTGAGACGAGTGTTCACCTAGCAAGCATGAGGCCCTGGGTTCCATCCCCAGCACCCCATAACTGGATGTGGTGGGGTGCACCTATAATCCTAGCACGTGGAAGGGGGATCAGTTCAAGGCCATCCTCAACTACATGGGGAATTCAAGGCTATCCTGGGCTACATCTCAAAAACTCTTTTTTTTTTTTTTTTTTTTTTGGATTTTCGAGACAGGGTTTCTCTATAGCTTTTGGTGCCTGTCCTGGAACTAGCTCTTGTAGACCAGGCTGGCCTTGAACTTACAGAGTTCCACCTGCCTCTGTCTCCCGAGTGCTGGGATTAAAGGCATGTGCCACCACGCCAGCGGGATCAAAAAAAAAAAAAACAAAACAAAACAAAACACTGACTACAATTTGAATAAGTGAAGAACATGGTTTTTTGTGCCACACCCCCCCCCCCCCACACACACACACAAATGGCCACAAGGCTGATCCAGTGGACAGGGGAGGCTGTGGCCCCACACCAAGCATCAATGACTGTGGTGGTCTGAATGTACTTTGCCGCCATAGTCTCGTAGGGTGTGGCACTATTGCTGGAGTGGGTGTGGCCTGGCTGGAGGAAGTGTGTCATTGTGGGGGCGGGCTTTGAGGTTTTCGTTGCTCACAAAACTACCCTGGGTCACAGTCTACTTCCTGCTGCCTGCAAGATGGACTCTCAGCTCCTGCTCCAGCACCGTGTGCCCCAACGCTCCCCACCATGAGGATAAGGGACTGAACCTCTGAAACTATGAGCTGCCACCTCACTTAAACGTTCTTTCTAAGAGTAGCCGTGGTCACAATTGTCTCTTCACAGCTATAGAAACCCTGACTAAGACAATGACATAGTAGGTGTGAGGATATGGTCAAGAAGGGAACTGGGGACAGAAGTGACCCCCCAAACCAAGGGGGGTCCCTAGATCACCCCCATGTACCTCACCTGTGTGGGATGGTGATGTCTACAGAAGCAGCAACCTGTGGGTATCACGTGGTGCTTCTGCTGTGCCTGGCTTGGGGCTTAAACAGCTGGGCTGCCACTCTAGCGTAAGCCCCCTTTTCCTTTCCTTTCCTTTCTCTCTCTCTTAGGTGCAGGGTCTCGTTAGCCTGGCTCCGCCTGCCTCTGCCTGCCCAGGACTAGACTACAAGCACACACCACCATGCTCCGCTGTTTGACACGGGTGCCAGGGACTGAACGCTGGTCCTCATGCTGGCAAGGCAGGACCTTTACTGATCTTCCAGATCTATCTCCTGGGCCCTGTGTGTGGGCATCTCTTCCAGCGGCCCTGGGAAGCTGGCCAGCTTGCATTTGCATGGTTTTGAGGCAGGGTCTCCCACTGCATCTGGGGCTCACCTCTTCTGCTAGGCTGAGTGGCCAACAAGTCCCTCTGATATGCCACGCTCCTCTCTCCCAGTTCTGGGGTCACAGGTGCTGCCACTGCACCCAGATTTGATTTGATTTTTAATATTTATTTATTTATTTATTATGTATACAATAGTCTGTCTGTGTGTATGTCTGCAGGCCAGTAGAGGGCACCAAACCTCATTACAGATGGTTGTGAGCCACCATGTGGTTGCCGGGAATTGAACTCAGAACCTTTGAAAGAGCAGGCAATGCTCTTAATCCCTGAGCCATCTCTCCAGCCCTATACCCAGATTTTATGTTGGTGCTAAGAATCTGAGATGGAGTCTTCACGCTTCTGAGGCAGGCATACGCCCACTGAACCTCTCCAGCACCACCCACGCCTTTATTCTGAGACAGGGTCTCTCTATGCAAGTTCGGGCTGAACTCCACTCTCAAGCCTCCTGCCTCAACCTTTTAAGTGTCGGGATGACGGGGTATACCCATAAACCTGGGTTGTTGTTTTGTTTTTTTTTTTTTCACACCCTCTAACTTGGATTTTTGTGACAGTGGTTAGAATTTCAGGACAAGCCAGGCAGTGGTGGCGCACACTTTTAATCCCAGCACTTGGGAGGCAGAGACAAGCGGATCTCCATGAGTTTGAGGCCAGCCTGGTCTACACAGCTCCAAAGCTACAGAGACACCTTATCTCAGAAAATCAGGTAAAATAAAATAAGAATTTCAGGACAAGTCGATCTTCGGGGTTCCCCCACCACCTTGTACAAAGAGACCACAGGACAGAGACACCTCGCCCTCTACCCCCTCAGATGCTCCATCCAGACCCACCTGGTGATGTCTGGCAGCGTGACCAGCCTGCCTGCCTGCAAGGCCGCGTTGAAGCTGTGTGCCCCTCGGGTCTCCATCGCAACAATGGGCACATGTTGCCAGCCTACTTCCAGCAGGCCGGCAGTCACACCCGCGAGGAGTCCTCCACCCCCCACCGCCAGCACCACGGCACCTGGCGGGGTCCCCAGCGACTCCTTCAGCTCCTGCACTAGACTGGCGTGGCCTTCCCTGTGGGGAGGGGGTGGAGCAAACAATGGGGCTCCCAGGACAGGAGACCCCTCCTTGGCCACTGAAGAGGCGAGATGATGTATCAGGGTCCCCTCTGCCTCATCCTTGCTCACTCAACCCTCTCCACTCTGGGAAGAAACACCCCTATCAGGGAGGGTTAAGAGGAACCAGCCTGTGACTTAGGACCAGCTGGGGTTCTGAAGCAGAACCCTGTCTCTACCCCTGACCAGCTGACCTTGGGCAAGTGTCTTGACCTCTCTGTGCCTCAGTGGGCTTCCTGGTCGCTACCTCATCTTCTCAGATGAGGCCCCAAGGCACGTGTTTGATAAGGACTATTTCGCATTCTAATTTCCATTCTATCAAAGGAGAAACTGAGGCATGGGCAGTTATGTGTTTTCCACAAAACACAATTCCCAAGAAGCAAGGTCTGAACCCATGTCTGCCTGACTTTGAAGGCTCTTCCCTTTTCTGGGTCTTAATTTCCTCAGGCCCTGATTCAGGGAGGGTCCCCCACTCTGGCACCCTGGGAACAAAGTCACAAGCCTTACCATATCAGGGGATGGTCAAACGGGGAGACATTCACCCAGCCGTCCCTAGTGGCCAATTCTTGCGCCTTTATGTTGGCTTCATCCCAGACCTAAAGAGAAGTGGCAGCCCTGGAAAAAGTCAGGGTGCAGACTCCACAGGGACTGTGGTCGCCTACAGAGCTAGAGGAGATCTCCCCTGACAGAGACCACACCTCCCAGGATGAGGACTGCAACCCCTGTGTGGGCCAAAGGAGACCACATGTCCCTCAAACTCAAAGGGATCCGAATCCCTATGACAGCAGGACCAGAGCAGCTCAGTGTGTGCAGAGCCGACGGACTCCAGGGCTGGTGACATGGAGCCCGCTTTGGGCCCACAGGAGGGGATAAATCCCTCACACCAACCCCACATTTCAGCTGGATCCCTGCAGTCTGTCCATGAGAGTCTATGTCACCCAACGGTGGCCCACGGTGAGCTGAAGCATAGATGTGGGCCGAGATGGCTCCTGACACTGTGTCCACCATAGGTCACCCAGAGCTCACCTTCTGGGTGTCTCCTGATCATAGTGCTTGGCTAGGGAGTGGACAAAGTGGGCTGCTTGGGACAGACTCCACCAATAAGGATTGAGAGTGTGGGTAAGAGAGAGCTGTTGTGTCCCACTCAGGGGGCACAACCCTTCTGAACTCTGAGGACACCCCAGACGGCACGGACATGCCCTGTCCTGCAGGGTGGGCTTCCCTCCCCACCCTGCCCTGTTCCGGGATAGGTGGATGGGTGAGTGGAAGGTAGCAGAGAAGCAGAAATCAGTGGGATGTGGTGGCGCACGCCTTAAATCCCAGCACTTGGAAGGCAGAAGCAGGTGGATCTCTGTGAGTTCGAGGCCAGCCTGGTCTACATACAGAGTGAGTTCCAGGACAACCAGGGCTACACAGAGAAATCCTGTCTCAAAAAAAGGGGGGGAGGGGAGGCTCCACAGTGCAGTATCGCAGTATTTAGAGGATATAGCTTTGGGCACCATGGCTTGGGAGGATCCAGCTTCAGTGTGGGGTCTTCTGATGTTCCCATTACTTTCTTATTGTGGTCTCAGAGTAAGAAATGACACACCCATCACCGAAGACTTTTTGTCTTATCAAACTGCCAGCCTTTCAGGTCCCAGTACCAAGTGTCAGTGAGGATGGGGGACACTACTCTCCAGCCTTCTGACAGGGGTCTTCTCGGGATGGGACGAGCCGTCCAGAGGTCCCAGCCCTCAAAGTGCCCTTGCCCGACCCATCCTCTCTTCTCTCCACACTCCTGAAAGAAGACTGAAGACCAAAACACTAGTTCTGGCCAGTGTTTGTCCAACATAAGTGGAGGAGATGCCCTGGGGTGCAGTGCGGGAGGACACAGCACGACTCCCCCACCACTTACTCCTTACCTTCCCAGCCAGCTGGACCTCGGCCCCCTCCCCCTCCAGCCGCCTCACCACCTGCGTGGAAGTGTTCTCTGGGAGCACAATGGTGACAGGGATGCCCAGCTTCCGAGCTGAGTAAGCGGCTGCAATGCCTGCATTGCCCCCTGGGAGCAGTAGAGAGAGGAGTTCCTCAGATTTCACATGCCTCCCTGTAAATCACCTGTGTATCTGCCCCACCGCTGGCAGAGGGAAACACCTGATCTACATCAACCCAATCAGAAACCGCAACCTCCTCACCCCGTACTGCTTCAGGGGTGAGTATGTTGCCCAGGCTACTGTGTGGCCTGGACAAAGAGGAAAAGGAGAAGAAAAGGCAGAAGACACAGAGCAAGAGAAGAGACCGGCTGGATCCAGCCATGTCTGAAAGTCGTTATCCTGAGGATGTTCAGAACTTGGAGCCTGCAGCTTAAACCTCCGTGAGATGGATCTCTGCCGCTCGTGACCACCACAAATCTCGGATTACAGGAAAGGGACTGAAATCAGATAGTGTGTGGCCATCTGAAATGCGACCCGAATGAGGCTAATCCTTAAAATAGAACTAAACTGTCCTGATGGTGCAGACCTGCAATCCCAGCGTTCAGGAAGGGGAGACAGGAGAACCAGGAGTCCCTTACATAGCCTTTACAAAGAAAAAAAGAAGGGAGGGAGGGAGGGAGGGAGAGAGGGAGCGAGCGAGCGAGCAAGCGAGCTCTGGACATTGACCAATGTGCTATCTGGCTCCCCTGCCCCCACCCCAGTCCTGAGGACTCCTAGTAAAACAGAGAGGGATGGGGTCACCTGAGGAGCACACCAGATGTCTGCATCCCTTCATGGCCATCTGGAGAGAGAAAAGATGGAGTTGGGGGTCACTCCAGTCATGGAGGCCTTTGTGGGATGTGGCCGGACGCTCCATCCACACCCAACATTCCTCTCCCTCTATCCTGCCCACACTTCCTCCACAGCTCCGTGTGACCTCCTCCCCTCCCCAGTCTGTGCCCATCCTCCTTCACCTGCTGACAGAAATGTCCGATGCCTCGGATCTTAAAGGAGCCAGCTGGCTGCACATTCTCATATTTGAGGAAGACGGGCATGCCTGCCACCTGCGACAGTGCCCAGCTCTCCAGCAGAGGCGTGACCCTATGGAAAGGCTCAGCCCTGACGTGCTCCGCCAAGTCTCCCTCCATTCCTGTGGCACACAGACGACCTGCAAGGGGGCATGCTCGGATCAGATTCCTTAACAGGGGAAAGGAAGGTCAAGCCCACTGGTCCTGGCCACCCCATATCCAACCCAGCTTCCAAGCTTCAAGTACCATGCAAGTGTCTGCCCATCTCTGGACCTTAGTTTCCCCATCTGAACAATGCAGACTGTACTGGGTCCCTTTCACTTAGTGTCTGTGGCTGTCCATAGTGCTGGGGACACAGAGTGTGACCAAGGAGTAATAAAAATCCATTCATTCACACATAGTTTTTTCCATAAAAAACACTGGTGAAGCAGGTGTCAGGGAGGCAGGGCCCTTCCCTATCCCCTTACCTTTGCCCTTGGCAGTCCTGGGCCCTCTTTCCGGTTCTGGGTTCCCAGTTATACAACCACAGCCTGTATCTCTGAAAGCAAAGATGTTTTTGTTGTAGTTACCATTGACAGACAGGGTCTCCCTGTGTATGTAGCCCAGGCTGGCCTGGAACCCACCATCCTCCTTAGTACTGGGGTTATAACGCTATGATGTCACACTGGCCAGTAAGCTCTTGTTTGGTTTCTCATGTACATGCAACTTTACAAAGGTCTACGTTTGTCCAGACTCAGTGAGGTGCTGATTTTACACCAGCTACATAGCAAGTCTGAAACCAGCCAGGGCTGTCCAAGATCTGTCTCAAAACATAGAGGGGGAGGGCAGCTGGAGACGCTGGCTCAGCAGTTAAGAGCACTCGATGCTCTTGCCAAGGACCCAGGTTCAGTTCCTGGTACTCTCACAAACAGCTGTAATTCCCATTCTAGGGGGTCTGATGCCCTCTTCTGGCCAGCTCAGGCACAGCTTGCACACGGTGTACAGGCATCTATGCAGGCAAACACACACATAAAAATAAATTTTAAAAGATTGCAAAAAGTTCTGATGAGAACTCAGCAAATGCTGCTTGTCACGTAAACCAGATGACCTGGCTTTGATCCCCAGGAACTACTTAAAGGTGGGAGGAAAGAACCTAGTTCACAGAGTAGCTCTCTCTCTCTCTCTCTCTCTCACACACACACACACACACACACACACACAAACACACACACACACACACACACTAATAATAAATATAGTTTTCAAAGAGGGAGGTAGATGGATGTGGCAGTGCGTGCCTTTGGTCCCATCACGCAGGAGGCAGAGATATAAAGATCTATGAATTTCAAGTCAACCTGGTCTACAAAGAGAGTTATAGACCTACCAGGGCTACACAGAGAGGCCTTGTCTATAAGCAAACAAACAAAAATCAAATAAGAAACGAGGGAAGGAATGTTGGGGAAAGGAAGAAACTGGGTTGTTGCTCACACCTGTAATCCCTGGGTTCAAACTTAGGGAACTGAGGCAAGAGGATTGAGAGTTCAAGACCAGCCTGGGCTACAGAGTGAGTTCAAGGATAGCCTTGACTACGTATTGCAAGGGCCTTATTTCAAACCACCGAAGAAAAGGAACAAAAACAAAAATAAAATTGATGAGGTTCTTTGCAGTTCCGAGGCTGACCACCAGGGGGCAGATTGTACCCTGTCCCTCCGGACCTGGAGCCTGAACCCCATTCTTACTCAGGGGTTCAAATAGGGAACTGGTCCGTGAATCTGACCCTCTGTCAGGATGGCCCTGGAACTCCCCAGACAAGGCAAAGACAGAACAGACCTCTCACAGGGAAAGAGGGCCTATGAGCTGTGCCTGGTCCCCAAACTCCCTGCACTGACTAGATTTTATGTCGACTTGACCCAAGCCAGAGTCGTTTAGGAAGAGGGAACCTCAGCTGAGAAAACAACCCTAGCAGACTGGCTTTATCTGTGGGAAAGTCAATCGTGAGTTTTCTTAATTGATTGATGGGGGAGAGCCCAGCCCATGGTGGGCGGTGCCATCCCTGGGCTGCTGGTCCTGGGTTCTATAAGAAAGCAGGCTGAGCAAGCCATGGGGAGCAAGCCAGTAAGCAGCACCCTTCATGGCCTCTGCATCAGCTCCTGCCTCCAGGTTCCTGTCCTTTTGAGTTCCTGTCCTGATTTCCTTCAGTGTCGAATAACGATATAGAAGTGTAACGCGAATAAACCCTTTCTTCTCCAAGTTGCTCTTGGCCATGGTGTTTATCACAGCAACAGTAACCTTGACCAAGACACCCCTCATAGCCTGGTTTGGCCCACACCTCTGTCTTGTAAGCCCAGATCATAGGTTTGGGGGCTAACCAGATACCAGAGCCAAAACCCAGCTGTGTGACCCATGTAAGTGTCTCAACCATTCTGTGCCTATTTCCTCTTCTGTAAACTGGAAACAAATACATATACACCCCAACTTGGGGGCCATGGTGCAGATGAACAGCTGGATGCACTGCCATGCTCCAGGCTGAATCCTCTAGACAGGCTGAGGGAACCTGTGAGGACTGGGACCTTCTGCCAATGCTGCATGCCATGGTCCCGGCTAGGGCTTGGGACCCAGGGATGGCACAGTGAGGAAGACAGACTTCGACCTCAGCGCCCGGCTTGTAGTTTGATGAGATCTACTATAAACCAACAAAATAACAGGAAACCATGAATATTAAAGATGAACAAAAGTGTCTCCTTTGGGCGTGGAGCCAGGAAAGATACTAATGAGCTAACACGAACCATGCCACACACTGATGCCAGTCCTAATGAGGATTAAATTCAACCACAGAGTGAAGGAGTCCATTGTACCCGGTGTGGCTTGATAAGAGCTAACTGTTGTGTGGGGCTTGCTGGGAACCAGGCACCGTGCCAAGCACCTTCCTTGTTATCTCTGAACGCACTGTGAACCCCTGACGGAGTCCTGTATTTAACTCCATCTTGTAGTTAGTGACCCAGAGGGGTTGGTACACAGGCCACAGGTCAGGAAACGTGGCTCAGAGTTCAAACCCAGGTGTGTGCTTCCCCATCTTAGCTCCTGGGCCGCCGGTGTCCTCCTCTTGTTCCTCCTGCTCATCATTTATTGAAAATGAGGCTGTTTGGCACTTCGCTGACCATTGTCCTCAAGAACTGAAACTCGCCAGGAAACAGTGGTGCATGCCTTTAATCCCAGCACACGGGAGGCAGAGGCAGGCGGATCACTGTGAGTTCCAGGCCAGCCAGGTTTACAGAGCGAGTTCCAGGACAGCCAGCGTTACAGACACACCCACATAGAGAGAGGGAGAGAGAGAGAGAGAGAGAGAGAGAGAGAGAGAGAGAGAGAGAGAGAGAGACCCTGTCTTGAAAAGAACAAAAGTAAGAACAAGCAGAACTGAAACCCTGTCCCCAGGCCCCTCTTGGTGACAGCAACCTCATCATCATCAGGGTGGAGAACCATCTGAGCCAACCTAGGGACCCCATTGGTTCACCTCCCCACGGTGACAGCTCCCGGGCATGAGCAGGAGGCTGGACCTCCCTGTGCTGGGTAAGGCAGTGGAGAGACAGCTGTGACTCCAGCAGGGGACTTATTGATAAGGGCTGCTCACTCTCACCCACCCTGCTTCCAACCCGGACAGCTCTGAGGTGCTTTGCCCAGGGGCCACTGGGTACCATACAGCAGTGGAACCAGGAGAAAGTCTAGAGAGTCAGGCTGACTGCTCCTCCCTCAGGGTCCCCAAGGCAGGGCGGCTGCTCCTGGGGTAGGAGCCACCCTCACGCCCACTTGCTGCTCCCTGCAACCACCACACAGCTCCTGGCCACTCCCACAATGCTACGCTTACCTTCTGGAAGGACAGTCCCCAGACCAGCACAGACTACAGCCCAGCCAGGACCAACTTGGACTCAGGCCACAAGATCAGCTTCCGCCACCAGGGCCTGGCCCCTCCTCCCTGTTAAAGGGACAGTTCCTGATTGTGGAGTCCTGTGAAGACTCACAACCAGATCAGCCAAGATGAACTCATGGGGATCTCCAACCCTCCCCTCCTTCCTTATGCAGCTCATGCCTCGTTAATGACCTGGGTTCTTCTGGCAGATGGGGCAATGGAGGCTCAGAAAGGACAACATCCATCCACAGGGGCTGGCCAGCAAGAGGCCTAAGGAACCTCTCACCTTGGACGACTTTCCGAACACAGCCACCCTAGGTCCAACATATCCAGAGCTGTTCTTAGGTCAGGCCACTTTCCCCAGACCACACGGGGGCCATCTTAGGTTTGAGGCAAGAAAACACAGTACAGGCATGGTGGCACATGCCTTTAATGCCACTATTCAGGAGGCAGAGGCAGAAGGATCTCCATAAGTTCAAGGTCAGCCTGGTCTATATAGCAAGTTCCAGGACACTTGGGGCCACATAGAGAGAATCTGTTATAAAAATAAAATAAAATAAAATAAGTACGATAGACGAGGAGGAGCTGTCATCTTGTCCGAACAGGAAGGGTGACTCACGTCCCATTCCCAACTCTGCTGTTTCACAGCCAGCAGAAGAAGCCTGGCTGTTATTTACCTGCTCATAGCAATGGCTGCTCATTCCTTCATGCATCCAACAAATAAATATTTACCAGACACCTACCATTGCCAAGACCCGAGACCTTTAACCTCAAACAAGACAGCGTGTCCCTGCTTTCTCCCAGCACTCAGGATGCCCTTGCTGTGGGAGGTGGGAGCAGGCAGCATGTCGGGAGCCCAGGCAGGTGTGGAGGGGGGACAGGGTGGGGTCACAGAAGTACTTAGAAGCTCTGAGGACACGACTCTCTAGCTCCCGGGAAGAAGGGTCCGACTCTGTGTCCCCTCTGTCCCCATATCACTGGACAATGCTGAGACCCTGGGCTTCCTCCATCCTGAGTCTCAGTTTCCCTAAATACAGAATGAGAGAGGCAAGATTCAGAAGGGCCAGGCAACATAGGTGTCCCTTAGGGCAGTGTGACCGTTCCCCTCCTGTGATTGATGATTAACCCCTGGCTACCTGGGGTCATGTGGAGCTGCTTAGTCAGGATCCATTACTGGGGCCCTGCCCAACCTACCTCTACCCTCACACGAACCCTCTCACCCTCCTCACTGTTGTCAGGTGCCCGGTCCCGCACGAAGCGCTGGGGACACAAAAGAACAGAGAGAACGAGGTCTCCGCAGTGGCTGGAGGATGGAATCTGGAGAAAGGCTTCCTGGTAGAGGAACACCCCAGCTGTTGACAAGGATCTGCATTTATTACACACCTATGGTATACCCACAGTGCGTTCTCAGGCCTCTCATCGCCAGCACTAAGGCTAGGAACCCAGAACTTTGCACAAGCCCCCAGGAACGAAGTCTCCTTAGTTTTTCTTCTGCAATGGGATCTTGTGTAGTCTGGGATAGCCCTAAACTTGCTGCGTCAATGAAGACAACCCTGGACATCTTATCTTCTCGACTCCACCATCCAAGTGCTAGGATTGCAGCTGCATGCCCAGGCATGGGAACACACACACGCACACATGCGCATGTGCACACATACACACGTTCTCACACGCATGTGCACACACGCACAGAGCGGGTCGCTGGCTAAGTGGTTAAGAGCATGTGCTGCCCTGAAGAAGACTCAAGTTCAGTTCCCAGCACCTACACCAGGCGGCTCACAGTGGCCTGCAACTCCAGGTCCAGCAGGTCTGACACCTCCACGGGTGCCTGCGTTCGTTCACATGCACATAACCCCACACACCATACACACAATGAAAATAATAAGCAGCGTGGTGGTGGCGCACACCTTTAACCCCAGCACTTGGGAGGCAGAGACAGGCGGATCTCTGTGAGTTGAAGGCCAGCCTGGTCTGCAGAGCACGTTCCAGGAGAGCCAGGGCTACATAGTGAGATCCTGTCTCAACAAAACAAAACAAAGAAGCAAATATATATATATATA